TTCTGGGAGTTGAAGTCCACTCATCTTAAAGTGGCCAAGTTTGGACAACACTGCTATAGGGTATAATAACAGAATCTTGAAAGCTTGACAGAGTTTCTCTCTCCCTCCCTCTTATACCCAAGAGAATCAAAGCAGGGCAATCCTGAGTTTCTTTCTCACCCTCTTTTAAGACTAAGCTGCTGTTTATGTCATCACTCTTGCATTGCTTCTTGAGATTATCTGAAAATGAGAGTTTTCTACATTCGCAGGCTCAGTGAGTTCTGGTGAGCGTTTGGCAGCAAGTGATGAAGCACTGTCTTTTTAATAAAAATGGTTTATTTTATTTTACGCAGGTTTTTGATTGTTTATGTCAGCACTGTTTTAGTCCTTGTGGGTTTTAGGCTTCCTGTAAACTGCTTTGAAGTGGGCGGTGTATGAATTGCTGTATAAATGAAGAAGTTTCAGTGAGGTTAATTGGATTTTGAACTGACAAGGGTAAGCTTGGGCTACAACAGCAGTTCCCTTCAGACAGGCAGAGCTCATAGAGCATTTATTACTTGCAGCAGAATTCTGGTGAAGTATATCTTACTAGTAGAATAAAGTTTAGAATACCGTAAAGTGTCAAAACTCACAGAGCATATGACATTTAAAGAATGACAATAAACCTAAAAAAAAAAAAAATTTTAGCTGGTTTCTTTCCATGCAATTAAGACATCATTTTGTAGCTCAGTTTAAAGAGCAATGTCATGAATTATACCAACATATATAGATGTTTATAAATATACCAATACTGTATATAAGTGGCCATTTCTGTTTTGATTGTTGTAACTTGATAATGAAATGTATTCTTTTTCATTGCCCGTGTATTATACAGAGTACATTTTAAAAATCTGCTAACTTCTGAAGGGCAATTTAATGCTTTCAGTGATGTTCTTTGGCATTACAAGGAAGAAGAAAAAACATGAACATAGTGAAGCCATTAGAAAAAGAACAATATTATCTATCATTCATTCATTCATTCATTCATTCATTCATTCATTCATTCATTCATTCATTCATTCATTCATTCATTCATTCATTCATTCATTCATTCATTCATTCATTCATTCATTCATTCATTCATTCATTCATTCATTCATTCATTCATTCATTCATTCATTCATTCATTCATTCATTCATTCCTCACATTATGGATAGATGGTAAGAATGTAGTAGTAGTTAATGTGCAAAATGAGATAACACTTCACCCAGGATGTTTCAATTGCTGAAAAGCTTACTTTAAGAAATTTATTTATTTATTTATTTATTTATTTATTTATTTATTTATATTCATTCATTCATTCATTCATTCATTCATTCATTCCTCAAATTTGTCACCACCTATCTCATGAAACGACTCTGGACGGTTTACAACAAGATAAAAATTCATTAAAATACAACATAAAAACAATCAAATTCATTAAAATACAACATAAAAACAATCAAATTCATTAAAATACAACATAAAAACAATCAAATTCATTAAAATACAACATAAAAACAATCAAATTCATTAAAATACAACATAAAAACAATCCTAAAAATAAATAAATTCCAAGAAGAAAGAAAATTGGCAAGTAATTCCAGGGAGCATCATCAGGGGGCTAACCACCCCCAGGGGCAGGTAAAGCCCATATCACCCTAGGCACACTGACAGAGCCAGGTCTTTAAATCTTTTCGGGAACCCGGGAGGGTAGGGCCCACCGCACCTCTGGGGGGAGAATGTTCCAAAGGATGGGGGCAACGGCAGAGAAAGCTCTCCTCCTGGGCCCTGCCAGCCAACATTCCCTTGCTGACGGGGTCTGGAACATGCCCTCTGTCTGACTGGGTGGAACAGGCTGACATAACGGGGATGAGACACTAAATCAATATAGTGTAAATTGACATCCCGCTGTGATTTGAAAACTATAAAGCACTTTACTCTTTTAAAAAGCAATTAAGAATCTCTGGGCTAAACCCTTTCCCCATCTCTCCTCTTTTTTTTTTGTTTTGTTTTGGGAATTTGTAACAGATTTGTCAAACATAACAATTTTGAACTGGAAATCTTGGGCAAAGAAAACCAGGTGATTAACTTCACTAAATACAGAACCTGCAAACAAGTGTGCCATATGATCATGGGTGTTAATCAAACTTTCTGAACCGTTAAAAAAAAAACACGAATGCTTTTGATTAAGTCTGCTTTTAAGGGGTGCCCAATTAGGTAGCAGCACACAGATAACCTTTGCTGATCTCAGAAACCTAACCAGGGTCAGATCTGATGGTACTTGGATGGGAGACCACTAGGAAATTCCCAGACTGTAGACTAAACTGGAAAGTCAAAGTGGGCTTGGCTTCTGGAGTTTTTTTCAACGCTTAATAGCAGGTCCAGCTTGAGTTTTGTGACGAGAGGGGATGGAGGCTTAGAATGATGCTGATGGCCACATTCCACATCACTGTCCCATCGCCTCTTCCCTATGGATGCACTGGGGATATTTTTAATGTTTTCTTTTTTTCCTCCCACCCATTTTCAAGCTTGATTTTTCTTTCGCTGGCTTCCATACCAACATGTTCTGTTCGGCTCTGACAGACAGAAAGAAGGGCAGAGCTCTGAACCTCCTTCCCTGTTTACTTTCCTTTGCACTGGAAATATTAAAAAGCATCCATGACAGGGGCAACAGCAAAGCAGAGTCATGTATGTACATATGTACTGTATGAGAGATGGGCAGCCATATAAATAAATACCGTTTGTGGCCCATAGACGTGTTCATATACAGTAGTTACCAGAAGTCAGCTTGAGTTGAAGGAGACTTTTATCCAAGCGATGAAATCTTTCCATGCCAGAAAATCACTTATTTATTAGATTTCTATTTTGCCTTTTGTACAGCAGCTCCGGGCAGGTTATAGAGAATGATCCTTTCTCCTCTTTTTGCCCCCAGCAACAACCCTGTGAGGTAGGTTGGGGGTGAGAGAAAGTGATGGTCCAAAGTTACCCATTGGCTGAACGTAGACTAGACCCTGGACCGTCCCATTCCTAGTCCAATACCTTAACCCAGTGTTTCTCAACCTTGACAGCTTCAAGCTGTGCGGACTTCAACTCCCAGAATTCCCCAGCCAGCATGCTGGCTGGGGAATTCTGGGAGT